TTGTTAGGAGATAACTACACATTTGAACAATAATGTTTGAAATCATCAAAACTTTATAAGTTGCCAAAAATGTAATGCATGCAAATAGCAACTATCTTAACAGGAATCACACCTAACCTTAAAGGAAGAGAAAGTTGAAAGATCATGTGGAAAGGAAGCATTGCTTCCCATAGAGGATCAAATTTGAAATTTAAAACTAGGATGGTGCGATAGAGGACATGCTCCATCACTAGTGGATCTATTCCTAAGGAAAGAAAGCACAGGGACTCAGACCTAACCTTAAGGAAGTGAAGATGACTAATTAGAATGGGGCCAAACAGGCTTAAATCCATCACTAGTCAATCAATATCCTATATGGTAAGAAGTACGAGGACTCGCACCTACTCCTAAAAGATTAAATTTGGTTTGGGTTTTCAATGACTAACCTAGCTAGAAAGCACAGGGACTCACATCTAACTAGCGGAACTTACCAAAGAGATAGTTTACTTAAACCTCTAAGGTTTTTGGCAAAAACAATCTAACTTGAATTTGATTCTGGATGCCGGATGGTGCCACGAGGGGATTACTCCACCACTAGCAGATTTAATCCAAAGGAAAGGATGCACAGTGACTCATACATATCCTTAAAAGACTAGAGAATTTTTTATTTTGGTTTTGAATTGGATATGAATATTTCAATTTTAGATTTTGATTGAATTTGTTGTGGTTTGAGATTGATTGAAATTTTGATTCCATATAGAGTTCTGAATTTAGAGGATTTTAAATTTAAATTTGGAGAATTTTGAATTTAAATAATGTTTTATTGATGTTGAATTTGATACTCATTTGGCATGGTACTTCTTGAAGAGGCATCCTGACGTTCAAAAAGACCGGCTAGCATCCTTCAGGGTTAATCAGTTAAGGTTTGAGTTTCCCTCATAGTTCGTCTATATGATAAGAGGTCATTCTTATATTGGCTTAAACACCTCCATTGATCTCTCAATAAGCTATGGTAGGCATCTAAAGAACCTATACCAAGTCTCCTACTTAGAAGGTTCTAAGTTACACTATCTTATCATAAGCTTGAACTATTTGGGCTTTGTATAACTTTGAGTTTTATTGAGACTTAAAGATTATAATGTGCAAGGCCTCTAGCTCCTCTAATTGGAGTCAGGCACTTCTTTCAATAGTGATTTATACTTGAACAATAGTTCCTAGCATTCTAAAATACTCCTCTAGTGGGATTGATCTTGGACCCAACATATAGTGTAATTTTTTAGAGAAGGCCTTAAAGGAAAAGATGCCTACATGCAAGGGATTATACACATTGCTCAAGGATGGGATTTAAATTTTTATCATGAGTAGAAGATTCATTCATTTATTTGAAATTTCCTCTAGCAATTTGGACCCTATTGGAATGACATGTGGGAATAAATTCAGAAGTATAGTGAAAAATTAACTAACTCCAACTAACCTAAAAAGGGTTAAGGACTTAGGTTTTGTTGACCCAAACCAAGTTTCCTAGAAAATAAACTGAGGTCTCCCTTGTATCAATTTTGAATTAAAATTAATTTCAAAGGGATTTAATTTTGTTAAAGAAATTTATTCTTTTCATATCTCTTGTATGGGAATTTTCTATCTAATAAAATATCAATACATGATAGAGAATCTTGATTCAAGATTTTTCAAAGTCAAGCAATTAAGATTGAATCGTCTCTTGAGATTTAAGGATTTAAAAGAAAGGAAGCCTTTTTGTTTTTATTGGTGGCACACATTGTGCATCTTTTGAATTTGTTTTGTGCACTTTATTCATCTTATAATTTTTAGCGCACTTTGCATACCTTTTGGCTTTTTGATTGATTTTGAGAGAGGCTTCAATTCCTTCAAAAACCCTTAAATTAATTATTCTAGATTTTTTTTAATGCTAGGATTATATCTCAAGTATAAGAGAAAAAGACTGATTCTCTTATACAAGGAAGAATAACTCCCAAGGCAAGTCCCAATCTCTTGATAAAAATATCAACTTGACTAAGAAAATCTTTGAATAGATTTTAGACATGTGAGAAATGCTTATTATGATAGAAAAATGCAAGAAGATTGAGATTGAGAAAATCTTCATTTCTAAAGTCAATTTAAGTTTAATACTAATTTTAATTCAAAATTTAATTCAACCCACAGAAACGATGCGAGGGAGGGGCATCTAAACATTTGATGGAGTCAACTAAAACTCTCTACTCATTTATATTTAAGGTAGAAGTCAAATTTGATTAAAAAGGTGAATCAACTTGTCTTGAAAATATAGACATAGTACACTTGAGAAATTAGTAAGTTTTCCTTAAAGGTTGCAAGTCTATGTGGCAAGACCCTTATGAAAATAGAATTTAATTCTTATAATCTCTTTGGAAGGAAAGATTGTTATGAGGTCTACACTATCCATAGAAGGTGTTGCATCAGTTTAATCAAATAATTTATAACGACAAAACTCCTTTGAAAGTTAAATTTCAATGGTATTACTATCTGATATAATCTTATATAATTTCCCCTCTAACATTACTAGTGGCCTAGCAGCTTGGAGAGTGGCACTCCGAGTGGTTTCTACACCTCCTCCTCTATAGATGATATAGTGGGGCACGTGTAGTAACATTACCAAGCATCATCTAGTAGAGTGGATGGGTCATAACCCTTAATTGGGGGCCTATGTTCTATTGCTCGTGATTGCTCTTTTCTGATTTAATTGACCTCTTATGTGGAGTGGTCAAAAGAGAATGGTGGAGATCGTGCTACTCTTCTCATAACCTCACTTCTTCGAGTAATAGAAGAAGGGTGGAAATGATTTCCATCGAAGGGGTATGTGGAAGGAGAAATGAGCACTAAATTGGCCTTAGATTTAACTTGCCTTATGGTTTTATACTAACCATTTTATCTTTGTGGCTAGTGATGATTTCACTGTGAAACAATTATTCTCTAATGGGACTTGGGATCTTCCTACCTCTTTCCCAAATTCGCTTACTGAGGCTATTTCAAATTCTACTATCAATGAAAGTTCTGGCATCCTTTGGAATGGTTCCCCTTCGTGGGCTTTTAAGTTCTTTATTGAGCAATTTCACTCTCATTTACCAAAAGTTGACTGGTCTATTTCTATTTGGCACAAGAAGCATTCACTTAAATTCGCCTGTTTTACTTGGATGGCGGTGCTCGGGAAACTAAAAACTGCTGATAGTTTGCTGATTAGGGGCATTGAGGTGCCCATCATTTGCTCTCTTTGCAATGGTTTTGCTGAGAATCACAATCACCTCTTTTTTTCTTGCGACTTCTCTTTTAACATTCTCAAGTCCATCTTACCTGATGTAAATTGTTTCTTGTTGAGGCCTACATTAACTCAGGTTTTGGAATTTTTTAACAATTCCAACTGCTTTACTTGTTTGGAGAAGGATTTTTGCTACTTATCGGTCAGCTGTATTCTGTATCACCTTTGGCGTGAGAGAAATGGCCGGCGGTTCTCTGATTTGAGAACCAATTCGGTTAGACTGATTTGCAACATTTCTACTGCTATTAGATTTAAAATTTCTAGATGGAAAAACAAAGACAATCTCCTCCAAAGATTCACTAGCATTTAGTTGTGTTTTTTAGAGGCTTATGGTATCACAGGATTGCTATTATGGCGGCTTATATTTCTGTTTTATGTTGTGAAGCCTGGCATACTGATTTTTGGGAGTCCTGCTTGTGGCTCCGCTCCTTTTTCAGACCTGGGAAGATCATTTTGGTGATTGTGGCTGGCTTCTCTTCAGTCCAATCCTGTTCCTTTTTGAAGAACATTATGCTCATTTCTTGGGTACACGGTTTTGTTGATTTCCATCCTGATGGCTGTCACCGGTGGAGGCAATTTTACAATCTGACAATGATGACTGGTTCAGATCCTTTTTGTGCCATGGAGGGCTGCTCTAGCAACCTGGCACAAATCTTGTGCGCTTTCGACGTGCCTGGAGGCTCTGTGATGGCTTTTGTTTTGTTTTTTGATGGGCAACCGGAGCAACCGCCGCCTTCTGGATGCTTTAGACTGAATCTTTATGATGTCTGGATCTGACCTTTTTGCCTGAGTCTTCTTGATTGTATTGTCTCCCTGGTGTACCCTCAGATGGTTTTGTCTCTTGTTCTTTCGCTGTTTTTATTTTTACAGTTGGTTCTCTTCCTTTCAGGTTACTTGTATTTTTAAATTTTGATTTCTAATACATGGGCTCTTGCCCCGGGTTTACCCAAAAAAAAGAAAAAAAAACAGTGACTGCAGACACCTTGGGGCACTCGTCTCACAGCTCCCAACAGTCCTCGTTGTTTTTTCCTATAGAAAAGGAAAGATCTCTTGTGTTTTTTGACGAAAAGAGTCTTGGAAATATAATAAAATATTTAATGCATTTGTTTTGGGAACTGTTCCACTAGGCATGTAGTTTTTTGTTTAACTGAATACGGGCCATCTTTTTTTAAAGATTTAAATAGGCTATATTTTTCTTAAAGATTTAAATGTAATAAATAATAAGAATTAGTTAATAAAAAAAAAATTTCAATTTTTTTTCGAGCTGGCTCGTGAGTTCACGAGCCGAGCTTCGTCAAGCTCGAACTCGAGCTCGACTCGTGAGCTCGATAAGCTCGACTTGCGAGCCTATAAACGAGTCGAGCTCGAGCCGGCTCGTGAGCCGACTCGGCTAACTTAAACCCCTAAGGCTGACTTCCCTTTACATTTTTAGGTGAGTGGGATCTAGGCGGGTTTTTTTGTGGGAGCAATTCTTACATCAGGTCACCTGACGCGTCCAAAGACCAATAATCACGCGCCACGTCATCTGAAACATGGTATTGAGCAGCCGGTATTGCTCGGTATATGTCCGGATTTTTGATTTTTTGTCCGGACGTAATAATTACTCCCTTTGTGGGGCACACTATAGGTAATTTTCTTTATTGTGCTAACCGACTATCTATAAGATACATGAAATGGCATAGGAGAGTATAGAATAACAATATTCTATCCTTCAACCGAAATATATCTTGCTACCCTAAACCCTGAAAAAAGATATCCATAAAGTTGAGACCATTCAATGAAAAAATGTTTGTTCCAAGCCCTCAATGCCTAGTCCTAGACTTTCATATATTGGATCTTACATGAAAATAAAGCTCGATCAAGAAATTTCAGAGCCGCCATAATCGCCATTAAAAAACCAAAGTCTTCGAAGAACTGGTCTGCGTGGTAGGTAATACCCTCTAAAGTCTAAACCCTGCCATAGGCCAATGGAGGAGAAAGTTCTCTGTCTCGACGGTGCCTACATCCATCCGCATATCAAACGGTATTCGTGTCGCCGACGACCGCCAAGGAGCAGCATCTTCCCATATTTAGGGTTTCTACAGCTTCTTCTCTTGGTAGCGATTGCTTGGTTTTTCTTCATTTAAACTCTGCAATCACAATCCCTAACGCTAGCTCTTAGTCTTGGCTCCACCAGTGTTTACAGTTTGGACATCAACATCTTTTGAGCAATGGCTCATCTAGGGGGAGGCGCAGAAGCCCATGCCCGCTTTAAGCAGTACGAGTATCTTGCCAACTCGAGTCTTGTCCTCACCACCGATTCTCAACCCCGGGACACCCACGAGCCTACAGGAGAGCCGGAGTCCCTATGGGGGAAGATTAATCCAAAGAGCTTTGGGGATCGTGCATACAGAGGTAAGCCTCCGGAACTTGAGAAGAAGATAAAAAAGTCTAAGAAGAAGAAGGAGCGGGAGCCAGGGCCCGATCAGCAGCAGAGAAAGGATAGTAAGAGGAGGCGCACCCAGGAGGAGACTGTTCTCTCGCTTGCGGATGAGGGTGTCTATCAGCCCAAAACTAAGGAGACCCGTGCTGCTTATGAGGCACTGCTAAGTATTATCCAGCAGCAATTTGGCGGGCAGCCACAGGATGTGCTTACTGGAGCTGCTGATGAGGTGTTAGCTGTTTTGAAGAACGATAAGATTAAGAATCCTGAAAAGAAGAAGGATATTGAGAGGCTGTTGAATCCTTTTTCGAGCCAGACTTTTGACCAGCTTGTCTCTATAGCTCGGTTGATCACAGATTATCAGGATGGGCCTGAGACTGCTGGTCAGTTGGCTGCAAATGGGAATGATGGTGCTCTTGATGATGACATTGGTGTTGCTGTTGAGTTTGAAGAGGATGAGGAGGAGGAGAGCGACTATGATAAGGTATCAATTGCTACATTCCTATAATTTTACATGATTCTTCACATCTTATTATGCTCAATGTTCATATTATTAAGAATCAGTGAAATATGTTTGTTTATTGTTACTTGTATGCATCAGATTCAAGATGAATCAGAGGATGATGATGATGGCCAGGAATCAAACGACATGGGTGCCATGCAGATGGGTGGAATAGATGATGAAGAAATGGAGGAAACTAATGAGGGTCGGACTTTGAATGTGCAAGATATTGATTCTTATTGGCTGCAGAGGAAGATTTCTAAAGCTTTTGAGAATATTGACCCACAACAAAGCCAGAAGATCGCAGAAGATGTGCTGAAAATTCTTGCTGAAGGTGATGATAGGGATGTCGAGAACCAGCTTGTGACATTACTTGAATACGATAAGTTTGATCTTATAAAGCTACTTTTAAGAAATAGACTTAAGATAGTCTGGTGCACACGCTTGGCTAGGGCTGAGGACCAAGAGCAGCAGAGGAAAATTGAAGAAGAGATGATGAATTTTGGGCCAAGTTTGACTTCAATCTTGGAGAAGTTGCATGCTACTAGGGATTCTGCAAAAGAGCGCCAAAAGAACTTAGAGAGGAGCATTAGGGACGAGGCTAGACGGTTGAAGGATGACCGAGTTGTAGGAGAAGATAGGGATCAAAGGTTTATGGAAAGAGAAGCAGATAATAGTTGGATAAAGGGTCAACGGCAGTTGTTAGACCTTGAAACCCTTGCATTTCAGAAAGGTGGCCTTTTGATGGCAAACAAGAAGTGTGAACTACCTCCAGGATCTTATAGAACTCCCCACAAGGGCTATGAAGAAGTTAATGTACCAGCATTGAAGCCTAAACCACTTGCATCTGGTGAGAAGTTAGTTAAGATATCGGAGATGCCTGGCTATGCACGCCCAGCTTTTGAAGGGATGAAGCAGTTGAACAGAGTTCAAAGTAAAGTTTATGAAACTGCTCTTTTTACACCTGAGAATTTACTCCTATGCGCTCCAACTGGTGCTGGAAAATCGAATGTTGCTATGTTAACCATACTTCTGAGATTTCTTTACATTGGAAAGATGGGCAGGTAGACACCACTGAGTTTAAGATTGTATATGTTGCACCAATGAAAGCTTTAGTTGCTGAAGTTGTTGGGAACTTGTCTAATCGCTTACAATCTTATAACATCATTGTGAGGGAACTTAGTGGTGACCAATCACAAACCAGGCAACAAATTGAAGAAACTCAGATAATAGTTACAACACCTGAGAAATGGGATATAGTTACCAGAAAATCTGGAGACAGAACATACACCCAGTTGGTAAAACTCCTCATCATTGATGAGATTCACCTTCTGCATGATAATCGAGGGCCAGTTTTAGAAAGTATAGTTGCTAGGACAGTCAGACAAATTGAGACTACAAAAGATCTTATTCGTTTGGTTGGATTATCAGCTACACTCCCAAATTATGAAGACGTAGCATTATTTTTGCGTGTAAATCCCTTGAGAGGACTGTTTTATTTTGATAACAGTTATAGGCCATGCCCACTTGCACAACAATACATTGGAATTACTGTGAGGAAACCATTGCAAAGATTTCAATTAATGAATGAAATCTGTTATGAAAAAGTTCTGGCTGCAGCAGGAAAGCATCAAGTGCTTATATTTGTTCATTCCAGAAAAGAAACAGTAAAAACAGCTCGTGCAATTAGAGACACTGCATTAGCTAATGACACTTTAAGTCGATTTTTGAAAGATGACAGTGCAAGCCGTGAGATTCTTCAGAGCCAAACGGAACTTGTGAAAAGCAATGATGTGAAAGATTTACTTCCATATGGCTTTGCTATTCATCATGCTGGAATGATTAGGGTTGATCGTGATATTGTGGAGTGGCTGTTTAAGTGTAGGCATGTTCAGGTTTTGGTCTCAACAGCCACCCTTGCTTGGGGTGTCAATTTGCCAGCCCATACCGTTATAATAAAAGGGACCCAAGTATATAATCCAGAGCAAGGAGCATGGACTGAACTTACTCATTTGGATGTCATGCAGATGCTTGGTCGTGCAGGAAGACCTCAATTTGACTCTTATGGAGAGGGGGTCATTTTAACTGGGCATGGTGAATTGCAATACTATCTCTCGCTCATGAATCAACAACTACCAATTGAGAGCCAGTTTATTTCAAAGTTGGCTGATCAACTGAATGCAGAGATTGTCCTAGGAACTATTCATAATGCACGAGAAGCATGCATTTGGATTGGGTATACCTACTTGTATGTTCGTATGCTGCGAAACCCAACCCTTTATGGTCTACCTCCTGACATTTTTGATCGAGACAAAACTTTAGAGGAACAAAGAGCTGATCTAGTAAGTAAAAGTTTGATTATTGCTTATTTCTTTTATGGTTTATTATGTTCTGCTTGTTTTCCGATTACCAATTTAGCTGCTAATTGTTTACTTTATTTAATTTTTTCAAGCTTTTTTACTCTCGTGGACCATATTTTTTATTATAAATGTAAGAATGTGAGAAGGATAAATTGTTATTACTTTTAGTGTTATAGCCTTCGAATATAAAGTCATGATCATAATGTTGTTTTACAACCTAAGAACTTGGTGATCTAATTTGATCAAGTTGCACGAAAACTTAATGGAAAAAAGGATGAATAATTTAGAATGGCCTTCACTTGAAGTACCACCATCTTATATTTTTTTGAAATCTAAATCATTGAATATGTTTAAGATGTAGTTTTTATCTTAAAAAAAATTCATTTGATTTGAATTCTCTTACATAGTGTTGAGCAAATTATTTTCTATTCTGACAATCCATTTGGGTGTTGCATTGCATTGCACAACAAAATGATTAAACTATCCGAAGTAATATTTGATTTCTTGCTATTTTTTATAATGTAGATTGTTTTTATTTGCCAGTTGGATGTAGCATGATTAAATGATAAGTGAAAACAAATTCACATGGGAAGAATGCATCTCCACATATTAAAGGATAGTGTCTATTCCTTAGAATTTTGGTGTTCTAATTTTATTTTCTTTGGAATATAATTTTCAGCAAATGATCCTCAATTGCTTTAGCATCCTTAAAAAATACTTGATTAAGAGGATGTTTGTTCTGCTGAAAAAGGAATGCATTATTAAGTAAAAGTAGTTTATTGAAAATATATTCGAGTTATTTGATTGAGTACACTATAAATGTAGGTGTTTCTTTTGCTTAGTTTGAAGTAAAGGAATGTAGAGTAAAATATTAATGTATCTGAAACAATAGTTGATTGGAGGTGGCCGATAATGGCGGGCGGAGGCTAGTGGCAGTGGCGAGCAACACAGGTGGTTGCATCACTTTACACAAGTTGTGTATTTAGAATTCGCCTAAATTCGGGCTAATTCCAAATACATTGAAACTGGATTGGATGGTGAATTTTGAATTCACTCATAAAATACTTTGTATTTAAAACATAGTTGACCATTTTGAATTTTTAGTGATGCATTATGGTTTGACGAATGCTCCTTCTATTTTTATGAATACGATGAATCTAGCTTTCAAGGATTATATAGATTAGTTTGTAATTCTTTTCATTGATAGTATTTTGATGTATTCAAAGATTGAGGATGACCATGTTGAACATTTAAGAATAGTTTTAGAAATATTAAGAAAAATTCAATTATATGCTAAGTTTTCAAAATAGAAATTATGATTGAGGAACATTGAAAGCAATTTTGATTTGTCCTACTGTTAGGCGGGCCTCTCCGGTCCTTACTTACTCTAGGCGGGCCCCACATGGAGTTAATTCAGGGGTTGGAGGAAAAATTTGAATGGAAAGGGGGGGAAATTTGAATAGAAGGGCTGTTTAGGGATTTTGTATGGGGATGAGAGTTAAAGAGGGGGAAAGGGGGGAATTAGGTCCTCATCTTGAATTTGAATGAAAAGTTTGAGATCTCATTGTGTGCTTGGGCTCTAGGGTTTGCTAGAGACTTGTGGAGAGTTGTTCTTCCTCTCGAATCGAAGGACGTTGTATCTTTCTTTGTTTTCTTGCATCTACTAGTGGAAACCTTGTTTCTTTTCCTTATTTTTCTCTGTTTGGGTGCATTTCCTGCTGCGGAGCTGCTGTAAAACTGCTGGGACAACAGTTTTGCTAGGGGTGTCAATATTTGACCCGACCCGAAA